AAGTAAATAAACTGAGGCAGGGGAAAGCTGGGTAACTTGTCCAAGGTCACAGTTAATCAGCGATGGAACTGGGTCTTGAACCCAGACAGTCTGGTTCTAGAGTCTATGCTCTTAACCACTGAACCGTACTGCCCTACCAGGAGCTGGCTGAGCTTCTACCACCACCAGCAGCTGCCACAACTACCGCAGGCTCTCTGGCATGGAGACCAGCCCTCCTCCGGCAGAGGAGGGGCAGGTGGCTCTCCGTAGCTGGACTGAACTACTCTGGATGGGAAAGCGGTGGGTTTTTCCATTGGGCTGAGGGTCTGTGCTTGGAGTTTGTGGGCGAGAAGCCAGGGCTTGGTCAGCAGTTCCTCCACCCCAGCCCTGTTTTTCCGTGTTTTGGTTTTTGGGTTTTTTCCTTTCGTGTTACCCTCTTGGTTTTTCTGGGCTCTGCAAATGCCAGCCTTCTAGTGTGAAGGAGAAGTGAGAGAAGGGACTTCATGTCCTGCTTAGAAGGCAAAGGGGGCCTGGGCTGGGGGGGAGGGTGTCATCTGGGATCAAAGTGAGAATCCTAAAGTGGAACAGCCTGGGGCACCGTGGGGAGGGGGAAGGCTACCCTCTACCACGTGGGGTGGGGAGGGAAGTCCTCTGCCTAAGTTTTCCCTGCTTACCTTAAGGGATGTTAAGGTGCGATGGACACTTCCCATTCCTTCTCCCTCCAACTCTGACCTGCCTCCTTCTGGCACATCCTCCGGCCTGCTGCCAAAGCCCCTAACCACCCATCCTGCCCCCTACCAGGAGCCTGTCTCTCGGTCTCTCTTCTCTCCCCCATCTCTGCGGGCCTCTCCCCACTATTGGGTCACACTGCACTAAGGCTTACCATGAGGCAGTGGCCTGGGGAGCCTCTGCAATGACTCTTGGAGAGGCCCTAGCTAATCCCCTCCTCCTGTCTTGGTCAGGGGCTCCAGACTCCGGTGGTTTCGGACACTGGGGTTCTAGCAACCCTGTCCCTCTCCCTGCCTTTCTCAAGTCACCTAGACCTTCGAGAGGTCCAGGCACCATGGGGGGAGGTGAAGAAGAGCCCCTGGAGAAGTTGGTGAAAGGAGACAAGCTACAAGGAGCTGCACCCTGACCCCCTGTGGTTCTGCAGAGAGGGGTGAGGGGTTCCTGTGGTCCTGTGGTGGCAGTAGAGTCCCAGAAGGTTTTCTGGGGGAGAGAGACTGGCAGGAGGGGAAGATCTTAAGACCTCTCTTTCTCCTCTCCCCTTCCGGTTCCCCAGATGGGTGTGCGTGCATGTGTGAGTGCGTGTGTGTGCATGGCTGTCTCCCGCAGCCAACCTTTTCTCTTCCTCTACAATCTCCATTGCTTCATCTTCTCCTAGGGTTGGGGCAGAGCTTCTTGAGAACCTGTGTCCTGGGGAGCTGAATATGGGCCACCTGGGCTACCCTGGCTAGGCCTCCTCGTGGAGAAATGGGACCCACACTGGTCAGAGGGAGGGGGCCTCAGCACCACTCTCAGCCCACCTTACTCTGGATTGAAGTGGACGTGCTTTCTATTCAGAGCCATCATGCAGCTCCATCCAGGGGGAGGAGGCACTATCCTGGACCTAGACTCCAGCCCTCTCTTTGCCTCTGCCCCTCTCTGTCCCTGTTTCTGCCTTCACATGCCCTTCTGCCTCTCCCTCTGTGCTTTGCCCACCCCTCGTTCCTTGCCTTCCCCCCTGCCCTCTCCACCCATCCAAGCCTTTCCCCACCACGTAGGGATTTCCTTGCAGCTAGGTCAGGATTTCCATAGCCAAATGAGGAGGGAGATGTCGGCGGCACAGGCCCACAATAGCATCTGTGGGCAGTGCAGAGGGACAGCTGTCTGCAGTTAGCAAGGGCCAACAGGTAAATAAGAGCCTCGTCTCTTCTTAATTAAATCGCCCTTTGCCCAGGCAGCCCGTGTTTGACTGGGATGGGATCAATACACCTCTTTCCCAGCCCAGCCATTCCTGGAGTCCCGTCCAGGCCCACCTGCCCACTTCCCGAAAAGGCTAAACCCCTCCAGGGTGGGGGCTGTGTCTGATCCATCTCGTGTGCAGTTTTGCCTTGGACAGAGCCTGGAACCAGTAAGGAGTAAAAGTGTGATTGTGCAACCCAGCAAGCGGGCACTGGCAGCAAGCACAGGCCGGACCCTCTGCGGTCCAGATTACAATCCCACTCCCAGGACTGACTGTAAAGCTCTGCCAATCACGGAAGGCGTCTGCTCCAGCCAGATGCAAAACACAGCTCACCCAGGGCAGGTGAAGCTCTGCAGGGCGGAGGTGGTCAGTGGTCAGGGAGACCAGGAGCAGCGCTCCTCTGACCTCTGAGGGCAGGAGGCCCTTTTCATAAGGGATCCCCACCTAGGATGCAGGGCGGGAGTGAGGAGTCAGAGAGCTGGGATCAGTTTGGCGTTTCTGACACTCTTAGGGGACTTGAGGCCAGTCTGGAGTTTCCATGTACCCAGAGGTCAGCAAGAGGTGAACGAGGTTAATCGGGACCCAGGGTTGGTTGGTAGGGCGGGCCTGAGAGGACAGGTGAGGTATGCTTGCCCAAGCGCGTGTTATTTCGGAGTCCACACAGAGGGTACCTTCAGAAAGTACCTTCCAAGTGCCCCATGGGGGTTCCAGGTTTCGTGGGAAGGGTCAGTATTAAAGGCGTCCTTGGAGCAGTCGGTACTAGTCCGGGTCAAGACGTCTCTGGTGACTGTCGTAGTGTCCAGCATCACCAGGGAATCAGCTGGGTTGGAAGGAGAGGGGCAGGTGCCGACGCCCTTCTCACCTCGGTCTGACCCGGGGACTCGGGCCCAGACGTCTCTGGAGCCCCCGCCCATCGAGCGGCACTCCCTGAGGGCGGAGCGTCGGCGGGTCCCCCGGGAGCAGCAGGAGCGGTGCGGGGCGGGCGCCCCCAGCGCTGGGGTTGAGGGAGGCCCGACTCGGCACCGGGCTGGGAGGGGGGCGAGGAATCAGGGCTTTTTAGGACCCAGCGCGGCGCCTCGCTCCGGGGGCGAGTGCGGCTGGGCGCGCCGGGGGGCCGTGTCCGG